ATGCAGACTATAGTCGAATGTATCTCAGTGGCTTCTTATACAGAACGACTATAGTCATAGTATCTCAGGGGCTTCTTATGCAGAGCGACTATAATCGCTTGTAGTATTTCAGTGACTTCTTATGCAGACTATAGTCGAATGTAGTATCTCAGTGGCTTCTTATATGGAGCGACTATAGTCATAGTATCTCAGTGGCTTCTTATGCAGAGCGACTGTAATCGCTCGTAGTATCTCAGTGACTTCTTATGCAGACTATAGTCGAATGTAGTATCTCAGTGGCTTCTTATATAGAGCAATTATAGTCGTAGTATCTCAGTGGCTTCTTATGCAGAGCGACTATAGTCGTCCATAGTACCTCAATCTTATGCAGACTATAGTCGACTGTAGTATTTCAGTGACATCTTATGCAGAGCGACTATAGTCGTCCATAGTATCTCAGTGGCATCTTATGCAGAGAGATAGTCGTTCCTGCAGTAGAAAAAGGGTTAAAATTGTATCCCTGCTCCTGTCTGGCCAATCGTCCGGAAGCGGACGAAACTCCCCTCCTTCTTTTCCACGCTCTGCCTAAGATCATCAATCTTAACGCGCGCGAAGGGTACGACGAATGCATCATTCAACGCGAAGTTACCACTTAGCACGGCTACGGCCTCGTCGCCTGGGAAATTAACCAGTCAAATCGACGATCAGCGATCCGTTGCAGAGCGCCGTTGACGCGAATTAATTAGAATCTTAACGATGAAAAAGAAAAAGGGGGTAGCAAATTTGACCGATAAACGATTAAAAGATCGAGATTGAGTCACGAAATGTTTGCATCTTTTTTTATAAAGATTTCTCCGAATTTTTTCTATTTTCTTTCAAAGTGAGCTTATGAAAATAACTTAAAATATAACTTCATAATTCCTTTTCCTTTTTTCATTCGTCTCTTCGTGTAATAAGTCAACGTTCCAGCTTCTTTTTCTCTTCGCATCATTTTAAAAATCACAAAAGCAACAATTCCGCTTCATATTTTTCTCATTTTACTCTTCACTATTCTTCGTTCGTTCATTACATAAACAATTCAAACACTTCGATTTCCTTTTTTCTTTTTCTTTCTCCGTCCGTTCACTTACAATTTCCCTCCTGAAAATTTCTTTCAAAAAGCGACGCTCGTGTTGCTTCGTCGTCAACGAAATTTCCTAACGAAACATTTGAACACGACACGGTCGATTTCCATTTTTCGTCGTGGAGCGATTCGTGGAAATTGGGGAAACTGTGTGTCCGTCTAAACACCGCAAACACTTTGGCAATTGCAGATTCCTCAAGTCCTTCTACAGGGAGCTAGGCACTCGCGACCCACCCCATTTGCCGGCGTGGGCGTCGCCACTTCCACTTGGCACCCTTTGTCCGGCGCATTTCCAGCCGCACCTGCAGCTGCTCCACAAAGGCGAGCAGGAGCACAGGCTCGAGAACATCAAGCCCGACCAGATCTTCGCCCCCGTCAGGGTGAGTGTTATAAATCATCCCGCGGAAACTACTTGGTCGCCCCGTGCGACGTGCCGCTTGTTGACGTCGCTCGTAAAACTTCCCTGCAACAACCTCTTCCTCCTCCTCCTCCACACAGCGGTTACACAACGGATGTTCGGTTTTCGAGAGAGCGGAGGAATTCTAAGAGGTCGCTTCCGATTTTCGAGAATATCTTCTCGCCGCGATAACAACTTTCTTCCCCTCCCCTTCCCAAAGTTTTTACCTCGAATTCTCTGATTATGGAACGAGATGCCAGGTAAATTATTTGGGAGAGATGGAACGTACGATTGTGTTAATTTAATCTATTTGTAGGTACTTTGTCGATTTATTTCATTGTTAGATTGTAGATTAGAAATTTTCGTTCGATCTTTCTCAAAGATTCAAAGGGATGAAAAGGTTCGACGAGAGGATGTAAACGTCGAGTTGAAATTTTTGCATCTTATAAAAAAGGAAAGGAGAACGAATCTGCTTGCAATTATCTCACGGTTGCGTGAACAAGTTTTTTTTTCGAGTTACACCTCTCCGTCCAATTGTAACAACAGGGGAAATTTGTCGCCGGTTTATACCAGATTTGCACGATATCGACTACGTAATTGGAAAAGTCAAGTTTACCCCGGACAGATGCTACTGTACGAATCTCCCCTCGACGAATGCTAAAACTTGCCACGGCAACTTGGCGACGTGTGAAAGCAAAGTTCCTTCTCGTCCCTACTTTCTCGTACCGTTGAATTTGTTAGAACAGAATCTCGAATTCGTTCGTCTTGTTCTACGCAATTTCGCGTAAAGTTTTGAATGCCGCACAATAATCATGGATTCGTAATTGATCTCATACTCGAAAGAGCGTGATAATTTCGATAAATCGTCCTCGGTTGTCGAAATAAAATAAACAAATAAAAATTGAATCGCGATATTAAAATATGAACAGTGTATAATGTTTGAAGAAGGATCGAAGTAGAATGGCAAAAATATGTTCGACGGGCGATTCGTTGAAACGTTTATCCATTGAAATCCATCTTCGAAAGATCGTATCGAGCCAACGAATCGTGTTAAACTTATCGAAAAAAGAATAGGATGGATGGAAGAGGGATTCTCGACTGTTAAGAGTTACAAGATTTTCATTCACCGTTGCGTGAACCGTCTGTCGATGTTTGTTGCCATGATAGATGAATTCTCTCCGGGCAAAGTCGTGTGAATCGCGTAACAAGTTTCGATGCGTTTCGTCTTCCGATCAAAAGAATTCTTCGAACAGCGAGTTGTTTCCCCAAACTTTGCTTCTAACCTTTGCCTCCAAACTGAATTTACAAGTCGAGTATTCGAACGACGCTCCTCCATGTTGATCCACACACTTCTTATGGGGGGAGGGGATCGAGCGCGTTATTCGCGCGGAGAAAGCGAAAAGGTTGGCAATTAGAGAGGATCTTAAAACTTTCCTCCTCTCGACGAGTGCAAACGAGGATGATAAAAAGGATTCTCGAGAGGAAGGAGGATGCGATCGGAGGAACAAATATTCTCACGTTCGTGTAATGAAAGAAAAGAGGAAAAGAGAAATTAGACGATTCAATTTTTTTTCCTCGGAGAAAAGGAAGAGTTAAGAGACAGGGCAGAGGAGGAAAAGAAAGATTGATCTGGAAATCTTTTATCTCGTGTCGTTTCTAGCATCGAATCGAGAGCATTGTTTTGCGAGAATGAAAAGAAAGAGGAAAGAAAGAGAAATTAAATGATTATATCGACCTTATAATTGAAGGAAAAGTATCGAGAATTTGAAATTGAGAAGAGGAGATGGTCATCTGGAATTCTTCACGACATTATTTCTAACGTTGAACCGATTTTCTCGATACGATGAAGGAAAACGGGAAAAGAGACAATTCTATCGATTTTTACTCGAACGAAAGGTATTAAGAAACAGAGCAAAGAAGAAAAAGAAAGATTCATCTGGAAATCTTTATCTCTTTCTAGCATCGAATCGAGAGCATTATTTTCCTCGATGCGACGGGAAAAAAGAGGAAAGAAAAAGAAATTAGACGATTATATCGATCTTACATTCGAAGGAAAAGTATCGAAAATTTGAAATTGAGAAGAGGAATAGGGAGATGATCCTGTGGTCATCGTCTTCACGATATCATTGAATCGTCGCACGAATATGTCCGAATCGGTAAAGGAAAAGAGAAACTGGAAAATTCGATCGAGCTCGGTTGAAAACGTGTTAAGAGTTCGAAACTGGATGAGATAGTCGTTTAGAAACCTTCGAAACGATGCAGTTTCTGGCATCGAATCGGGGATGTTATCGTCGCACAAATATGCCCGAACCGTGTTTCCCGCGATGCGATCAAAGAAAAGAGGAAAGAGAGAAGTTGAGACAATTCCTTCACTCCTTTAGAAAAGGAAGAGAGGAGATGGTCATCTAGGGAAGGGGCCGCTATGTGGTCGAATCGAAGTCGAATCGAGGGTATTATATCGTCGCACGTAATACTTTCGATGGAGGAAGGTTTTAATCGTGGGTCGCGAAGATGCGGCGAGAGAGGAATCGAGGGAGCACTCGGTTCGATTCCGGCGTAACGAGGTATTGTTCTGTCGTGGCTTCGCCTGATCTCGGATGGCCGGCCGAAGCTTCGCTTCGTTAACGGTTCTCGAAAGCCTTTTTTAATAGCGCCACGGTGATAACTTCTCGCACAATGCACGACCGTCTCTTTGTATCCGCTGAGAACGAGCTGGTGGTGATCGAGGTAAATGGACCGCTTTAATTCGACGTCTGTAACGTCGATCTCCTCTTACTCTTGCGACTCTTCTTCCCTTTCCCTGTGCTTCGTTTCGCCTCATTGTCCAGACAACACTCGTGGATCGAGAAAATTTCACTTCCCGCGGTATCGAAAATTGCTCGACGATTTGTCCTCCCTGATGTTTGGAGCAAGAGGAACGATTTCAGCGTTGGATCATATCGTATTCCATGCCGAACGTATTACATAAATTTCCTATTATACGATAGTTTGATATTTTGGTTTCGCAATTAATTTTTGTATCCTTCAAAAATCAATAACAATAAAAGAGAAGGAGAATTTTCATTTTCCAAAATTGCTGCACTACACATTTACACTTCTCGAAGTTAGATTTAAATGAAGAGAATTATCGAAATTTTATTTCTTATTTCGAAAAATCAATATCCACCTTTTTTAAAACATTCCCTTCGATTTTTTTTTATCGATATCGAATCGAATGCGTTATAATAAAACTAAATTCCAACGATCGATCGATATAAATTTTTCATACCTTTCCCATTCGATCGACGCTTCGTCCACTCGATAAACAATAGACGAAAAGAATGGTGGAATCAATACATTCCACGAGGGAGTGGAATTTATCGCGTGCACTGTCGCGAGAAGAATGCGCAGCGCGATAATGAGCGCGTTTACATCGCGAGACGGCCGTCTCGGGTGGACGTTTTTCCGGATCAACGACGACGTTCCAAGGCGTCGACGTTCGTTGGAATATCATTTCCATTTTCCCGGAACACGGGTGCACCCCAGCGACGAGCGTTCTCCAATCTGTCCAGCTGGAAGTAATTTCTTTGTCTCTATGCTTGTCTCGCCACGGACGCCTCTGAAACGCGCGCCTGTGCTGCGATGCTTCGTCTCGCGCGCGGACACCGTCTCCTCCTCCTTCCCCTCTCTCGAAAAAAAGAGACTGCTTGCCATCCGTGCCACCATTTCGATGCGTATTCTTCACGAAGAATAATGGATAAAAGCATGCACGTGAAAATAATCGTCAGAGCGGATATATCCTTTTTTTTCTTTTATTTATTTATTTTATTTATTTATTTTTCGAATCGCTTTCATTCGATGTAGAATGAAAATTGAAACATCGGCATGGTATCTATGCACCGTATCGATGAAAACTTGATATCAGCGTTTCGCAAATAACATAAAGGACGATTGATGAATTTGCCGAAATAAAAAGTTAAAATGTAAAATGATTGTTTAATAAATATCACAAAAATCTGATATGAAATTCGAATAATGAAAATTCGTGTCATTCTAATTACACTCGACTTATTAAAATAAGAGGATTGGGAATGTACGATTTGTAATTTTCATTCTCTGTTCCAGAAGAAAATTCCATTCCATTATTTTTCTATTTTTTCTTTTTTTTTTTTTCAATATTGATATTCATCGCGCAAAAGTAAAAAGAATCGTGAGAAATTAACAGCAACGGAGAGATTCACGAGAGATCCAGAGTCGTAAAGATCGTAACGATAAAGAGGAGATACGGATGAATAACTTCCTGTCAAACTGGAACATCGAAGGCTTGAAATCACAGGTTCGATCGAACGTGTGCAGACGGATGAAACGGATATTAGAATATAGGCAGGTTGGTCTGCTGGAACCTAGGAGAAAATCAAATTATTAATATACAGCGGATCGTAGTTTGATCTAGTTCGAGGAGGATAAGCAACAGACCGTAAATGGACTAGATCCACGGGGATAATGGGTTGGGCCGACAGGCTCTAACGAAGAAGCTGGATAATAAGACTTTTGTGATGGTTGAGCCCTTTATAATCTAGGTCTAGCCGAGACAACCCTCGTGATAAGGAATACGGAGCACAAAGACGACGATCATTCACAGCAATTATCTTCGTCCAAAATTATCTTTCGTATTTTAAAACGCGCGATAACGCGTGACACAAATAGCGTATTTACGAAACATTTTTCCAGGATGGATTTCTAATTTAATTCGATCGGATTATATTCGATACGGGTATAAAAATTTAACGATATAACATAATAAATATAATGTGAAAATATTTGCACGATACGAACAACTTTTCCGTTCGTTCGATCGATTATTTAGATTCGCTCAATTTATCATCACTTATCATCAACACTTGTGTATTTAATATATATTTGTACAAAGAGTACTCGTGTGCCGCGATGATTAGGCAAAGATCGATGAACAATCGATTTCCAATCGATAATTCGATGCTCGAGATGGATGGAATCGGAAACACGTCCTCTCATAATCGATTCCGTAAGCAAGTTTCTATTCCGCAAAGGACGGCTTATCGCGTAATCGATCGGGAACTAGCAATAGTTACCAGCATGATGGAACAAACGACTTTCTCCCTTTATTGCCGCAGCACACGCGTATTGCATCTCGGGAACAATGGGCGCGTGTACAAAGCATTACGTGAAAAAAAAGAAGAAGGAAAAGAGTCTCATCGATGCACTGATTAAATCTGTTTTTCTTTTTCTTTTTTTTTTTTCGTTACGAACGTAAGAGAAAATTTTTCCCTCTCGCTTTTCCAAAGAATCGACACGAAACAATCGTCCGCTAAATTCTCGTTATTAGAAGAGGAGCTCGAATAAAACTCGAAGAAAGAGAGAGAGAAGAGACGAAATTCGAAGGCTCTCCCGTTAATCGTGGCACGTCGATCCGGTCGAAAAGTGTAGGCGAAGATCAACGCGGGTTACGGATAGATAAGTTCGACCTGTTATATACCTCGCGTCGGAGATAGAAGTTAAAGAGAACGAAACGAAAAGCAGGCTGGAATCACGAACAACTCGTATACCGGAAGTTGGTTTGCCCAGAGTACACAGACACAAGTGGGGCAGCGGTAAGAAGAAAAGTTAGATGCTTCGTGACTAGTTTCTCGGATACTCCTTGGTTTCACGATCCCAGTCCGGTTGCTAATTAGAGAACTTTGAACCGCTCTCGCGCGAACCGCTAATCCCATTCGATCACCGTTTCTCCCTCCCCTACTCCTTACCTATCCACGATCATCGACCCTCGCCTATCTATAAACGACCAATTACGCCCAATTGTTACGCTCAATTTGCCCGCAAAAAAGGAACGAAATTATATTTTCCTTTCCGCTCGATCTCGACCTCGATCTCGCACGCACAGTTGAGCGACGGCACGGTCTCGGAGGCGCCTCGCCGCGTGGCCATCGAGGGTGGCCCCGGGAGCGGGAGAACGACCCTCTGCCTCCGCCTGCTTCACCAGTGGGCGATCCAAGGCGATGGCCCGGCACTGGCTTTCATCGTCCCGCTGCGCGAGCTACGCGGCAGCCCCGTGCTCAATTACCTGGCGCGCGAGCTGTTCCCGAGGACGGCCGCAATCGGCGACGCGATAGCTCAAGTGTGGCGCACGCTCCACCTGATGGAGGATCGCGTGCTGTTCATCCTGGACGGATACGACGAGTGCGTGGGCGGCAGGGCGTCCCTCGCCGACGCCGTAGACCTTCTGGAGGGGCGGTTGTTCCCGGACGCGAGGATCCTGGTCACATGCTCGGCCGGCAACTCGGCCATGCTCTCGCCCCTCGTCCAAAGAAGGATCCATTTGGCCGGGCTGGAGTGGCCCCACGTCGAGAGGCTGTGCGTCGCTTATTTCATCCACAACGACATCGCGGAGAAGGCTTGCGAGTTCCTCGAGGCGTTAAACGTGCAGCCCCAGACCGTAAAGCAGCTCGGTCAGCACCCTCTTGGTTGGATTATGCTCTGCTGCCTCTACCAGGTACTATTTCGTGTACACCAGACCAGAGTTATCGATGTCTCTTTTTTTATTACATTTGTTTTATTACGATTCGTTCTCCCCAGGATTCTGGAAGCTTGCCAACTGAGACGAGCGCGCTGGTTCAAGCCGCGGTCAAGTGCATCGTGAAGCGAAGTCTGGATCCGCCTGTCCCTCACAACGAGGAGATCCCGGGCCATTGCAGGAAACGATTGGAAGACTTTGGAAAGGTGTCGTTGGCCGCGCTCAGGGAGGGCAGGTGTTGCTACACGGAGGCCGAGCTTCGCGCACGGGGCGGAGGGATCGAGGTGACCAGGTTGGGCTTCCTCACCAAAGGATTGACGTTCGGCCAACGACGGAAACCGGACCTGTACACGCCCATCCACATGGCGGTGGCCGAATTCCTGGCTGCCTACTACTTGACCTCCGTGGCCCAGTACGCCAACATACTTCGAAGAGAGTTGGAAGGGCTGCCGTCGGGGATCATCAGCCACTTGGCCGGCCTGCTGGGACCCAAGACGCATCTGATATTGAATCAGTTGTGCCCGTTGGAGGTGCCGCCAAGGGCGGTGTTCTCGCTGTTGAAGGCAGCCGGCGCCTCGGACGGCAATATATCCGCCGTGTGCAGATTGGTCGGCGCTGGACCCGGCTTCGGCCCTGCGCCCAACGAGAGGCCTCCCGCCCCTCTGGTCCACACATCCCCCCTCGAGCTGGAAGGGTGGGCGAGGATCCTCGAGAGCGCGGCGTGCACCCTCGAAGCCCTCGAGGTTGTGTTCCAAGTGGAGAGGGGCTCCGATCCGAGATACCTCGACGACTTTTTCGAGGCCTTGGCCGGGAACGAGAGCGTGAAGCTCGTCAGGATCACGTCCCTTCTTGGCCAAGAGTTCCCCGCGGACGAGGCGCAAAAATTGGCCGGCCATTTGAAGAGCGTCCTCGGCAAGAAGAAATTGAACGACTTCGAATTGGTTATAACTTGTCTCGAGGAAGCTGCCCACGATAGGTGAGTACCGTTAATTCCTTCTTCTTTTTCTTCTTCTTCTTCTTCTTCTTCTTATTATTATTATTATTATTAATTTACGCGAGAAATTGGAGATGGATATATTTTATAAAATTTTTCCGGAGGCACGCGAGTTCTCGAAGGAGAACGTATGCGAGACGCGATAAGAAGAAGAAAGAAGAAAAGTTCCTGAGGGGGAACAGCGGTGGAATATTCGTTAAGATGACGGGAGGGGGGGGGGAACGTCGGGTTGTTTGCGTGAACGTCGAGCAACGTCAGAAAGTGGATTAAAAAAGTTTCGAGAAGAGAAGTCGAGGACGTGGACGAACGAATAGATCGCTTTTTAAGACTCGGGGGAGGGCAAGAGACTGTCTGAATAAACAAGGAGAAATATTTACTAACTATTAATAACGAACTATTAATAATAATATATTTACTCTGGAACGCGAAAAGTTGGAAGAAGCTATATTTGTCATGTTGGGGAAATTTAAAAAATTCCCCAGGAGCACGAATATTTTCTCATCGATGATAAACTACAGCTTTTAAAAGAACAAGCTCGGCCACCAATTTACGCTTCTTTACGGATGCTAGTCGAACGTCTCCACTCTTCTCGGTTAATTTCTCTCGGTAAAATTTCTCTCCCGTACGGCGTGTAAGGTCGGCAAGATAAATTAAAAAGTTTACTTTGCTCTCGCGTGGAACGGCGAGGAAGACATTTACCCTGGTGGTGGTTTTCGAGGGTGGGAAAAAGAACGTGTTTATCCAACGAGCCGAGCACGGATGAGTATACGCGGACGGTGTCGATGCTTCGAGTCCTCCCTCCCCATTTGCATAACCGTTCTGCTTTCTCCTCCGTGCGCACGGTTTATACGAGGCCAGGTGGCCTGCTTTCTCGCATTCTTTTTTCAAGGGAAAACGAGCACTCGGCTGAAAAAAGATCGAGAACCGATGAAAAGCAATCGCAACGATAAATTCTCGAATAACCTTCGCTTCGCGTCCCCTCGACTCGAAAAGCTGTTTGCAATCCGTTTTCCCTTTCAATCGTCGGCAAAGGTCGAACAGGAGAGACCTGACGGATGATTCTGAAAAATTGCGCGTGGAGCGTAGCAACGAACCACCACATCTTTCGAGAAAGATGAATAACGTTTTTCCGTTCCGTGACGCGGCTCTTGGGAAATTATCAATTCTCCGGCATGTTCCTCATCTCCCCGAAAGCAAAAGAACTCGAGAGCAATGAAATTCTCGAGCATGTTCTTCCGCGAGCGACACATCTACCCCTCTTTGAAGAGACGGGGTTTTTCACGCGTGGCCCCGTTGCGAAAAGGGCAACGGCACTCGATATTCAAAGCACGCCATCGGGCCGCGAGCAAACGCGGCAACAAGAGCGGTGTAACAATGAGCGGCGGCTGAGGGGTTGAATCATGACTGCATAAAGTCGCGGCGGAGAAAAAGTCGAGAAAGTGGCGGAACAATATGCCGGGGCCAAGAATGGGGCGGATTTTTCTCTCTCCCTCCCCCCTTTTCGCGAAGGTTGTTCGGTTTTCGTGGCCCGTGGCGAAGAATTAAAGAATTTTCTTTTCTTTCGCTTTATTCTCTCTTTCTCTCTCTGCTTATCGCTCCTCGAATCTCTCTTCCTTTGAACTTCTTTCTTTCGGATTCTGCCTCTCCTCCCCCCATCGTCTGGATCGCATTACGGATCGCGTACCGTTTCTCCTCCGTTCTTTTCAATCTCGACCACGGAGATCGCGGAGAACCTGCTCTTCCTCTTGAACTGCCCCCCCTCGCGATTCCTTCTACTTTCCCCCTTTGTCTCCGCTCTTTGAAACTTCTCGAAGAGTTTCTTTTTCGCGAGAGTTTGCGCCGATTCATAATTTTTTTCCCCCCCCGTAAAGAGGAAAAACTTAGCCGAACGACGAAACGCTTTGACGTGAAAAACTTGGCTACAACTTGACAAGATGCAATCAAAGCTCCTGGCTCCCCTTGATCTCGTTTCATTTCGTCCAATTTCTCCGATTCTTACTCCCTGAACAAAGTCTTGTTCGAGGTTCCATTCCATCCTCGACTCTCCCCTATCTCATTCTTGTTTCTAATTTTCATTTTCGACTCTCGCCGCATCGCATTCTTCATCTCTCTTTCTCTCTCTCTTTCTTCTCTCCACTTTGCAGATTGTTTCCAAACCGAAATACCGAAGAAAAATTCCAACGTGAAAAACTACGCCTTCTGCAGAGAGACGTTCTTAGCCACCATTTGCCCGGAGGCGGGACATTTTCGAGCTCATTGCCGAGAAAGTGTTTTCTCTCGTTCCCCCCTTTTTTCGTCGTCACCATCTCGATATCGAAGCAGGAGCGCTGAAAATTGGGCAGGAATCTCGAAGGAGGCCGCGACAAAGAACGGCAACCGATCGATAGATCGAAGAGATACCGCCGAGTCGGCGACGAGGAGTCATCCGGTTATTCAGCGGCGTCAAGTGCATCGAGCGGAAAGGAAACGCGAGTCCGTGCTCGAAAGAGGCCGCAACACGCTTCACGGCTTGTTCCATTCTCTCTCGATTGCCGTGCAATTTTCGCCGCTTCTCCACCATTTCGAGCGGTTTTGCTCCTTCGCTCGGATACAATCGAACAAAATTTACAAAGAAGAATATTTCGATTCAGCTCGAGGAATTAATTTCTGCTTTTCCAGGATATATATACGCTTAAATTAGCGTGTCTTTTTTTTTTTTTTTTTTTTCTTAACGTCGAGAAATCGAGATTGCGTAGATTCGACGATGAATAACGAATGGAAAAGCTGGGTTGAAATAATTCTTGGAATTCTTTTTTTCTTTTTTTTTTTCCATTTTGATGCCATTTTGAATATTAAGTGATATTGTTCTCGATAAATTGCTGAAAATCTAGCAATCTAGCTTTGGATGACGTTAACGAATATCTCGTAAAATTTCGGCCGAGATCAGGTGCACGATCTGCGATAACGATGACTGACAGCTGTCGGAATATTTGGAGCTATCAATAGCTGCAAGTGATAGCACGTATGATTGGTCAGGCACGCTCTCGATCCACCGAATACTCGTAAATTCGGCGAATTAAAAGTAAAGGTCATTTTTATTAATTAACTAATTTATCATCGATGAGTAAAAAGTAAATTTGTTCGTCCTTTTTTACGTTCATTTCTTTTTTTCTTTTTCGTTTATTTAATTTTAATATTCTATTTACATTTTAATATACGCGTCGCGTAATTATCAGATTTTATTTGATCATTAAACAGAATTACTCGAGAGCAGTAATGTAGCGTTGGATGATTTTAATTAACTTAGAAAACACAGAGCACTTTATTTTAATTCCATATATCTCGCGTAATTAAAAACGAAGCTTTGTTTGCCAAATAATTGTTCATGAATATGTACATACGTTCTCAGCTCACCTTATTTACATCGATCCATCACTGCTTTCTCTCATCCATATCGATCGTTCGTAAATGGAAACATCAAGCGAGATAAAATTCCTCTTCTTTTTTTTTTTTTTAGATTCAGAAACGCGTCTCGTTCAGTTGTATCGCTTCTCGTAAAAATCCTTACATTTTTTTCCCCGCGACTGTGCAATTTTGAAGGAAATCCGAACAGTTTCGTTTCAAGTTCTCCCCTTCGACTAGAAGAATCGATAGCTTTCGCATAACTGTTGCGTGTATGTGTGTGTGTGTGCACACAGTCTCTCGAAATAATGGGCGGACGTATAACGGAGGAAGCGAGGCGTGCACAACGCATGCACGAATCCATAAACAACGCGAGGCTGAAATCGATCGATCGATCGATCTTACCACCGCTTAAGTTTTCGCGTCCAATTTATCGAATCGCGCAAGGAAACACCGCTACTTTTCGAGAAGATACACTTTTTAAAAATTCGACGTTGCTCTGTTGACTTTTAATTACTCCGGCTCCGGTTGAAAAACTGGAACGGGGTATCCCCCACTCGAGGCCACATTTTCGGCTTCTTTGCTGACATTTCGCAAACACTGCAGTTGCCGGCAGTGTATTGGTAGCAGTGTGTCAAGCAGCCACTGATGAAGGAAACTGCAATGCTTGCGAAACGTTGGCACGAAAACTGCAACGTTTCCTTAACACAACCGAATAAGTCTTTTAAAAAATAAAAAATATGTGTGTGTGTGTGTGTGTGTGTGCGTGTGTATATATATATATATATATATATATATATATATATATATATATATATAGT